ACATCTGTACATCACTGCAGCTAGCTGAGAAGTTCAACCGCTGGAAGTCAACAAAATCGAGATTCTCCAGAGGATTAAGTCTTTAAAGAGCACTTTACATTCTATTTTCGTCTAATTAAACATGATCATGTTGGTTATCTTTAAATAGAGGCTCAACAATACTGACAATATGAGACTAGAACTTTATATTTTCTTTAAGCAGAAACTCTTCCTCCGCCCTTTGACCTTCTGTTGTTGCTCTATAATCGGAGGCTAATAATTGCTGTCTCGTGAATTTGACTGTAAAAACTATTTTAAAGGGTCAGTTTGATGTCCTGCCCGAACGGCGGTGGCAATAAAACTCTATGGTGGTGAAAATGAGAACCAATTAGGTTCATTAGCCAGAAGCTGTTTCACTCTTTGCTGTGATTGAGTTCAGCTCTCAGTCAGATCCTATCAGCTCGGCCTCGTGCCTCAAACAAAGCCTCTTGGTTGTCGGATCAGGCGGCTTAAAGACAGAACAGCGGCGGCCGAGCCTATCGCCTCTTGCCATCGCGCAGAAAGCGGCGGTTTCGCACGAGAACATGGAGGTTAATTAGGTAGAAAATCCTCAGCACATTCCAGCTGAACACAGACGCCCTTCTTCTTCTTCTACTACCACCGCCGCTGCCACCGGCTGCTGCTGCGGCGGCCACACTGGCTGCCCGCCCGCCGTGAGGAAGAGGAAACAACGGGTTTAACCTCAGCAGTGTGTTTTGGTGTTTGTGTTGTTGGTGTGTGTGTGTGTTTTCTGAAAGGTTCCTGTCCAGGTGCTTCAGTAGAAACAAGCTACTGTTTTCCTCAAAAGTACTAGTTTTAAAAATGACCGGTGTGCAATCAGTTCGGTTACTATGGTAAGTTGAATAAATGGCTAACAGAGGATGATAACAGTCACAGTATAGTTGACCCTTCACCTTTTGGGTAAACAAGACTATGTAGAGACCTACTTATATGTCTGGGCCGTGTATAATGAAGATGAAACAGAAATCAGAAAGCTGTTTGTTTCCTCATATTTACATATTTACTAAAACCGCTAGGGGAAGGATTTAGGGGAAGGAGTATCCAACAGCGTTGTGTGTTACGCCCCCTCAGTCCAGCAGCTGTATTGGATGCGCTTTTGAGTTGATTTTAGCAAACAATTCCACATCTTAACTGAGAAAAACCCAAAAAAGTGATATAGAAAATAGTTCTAGGCCGTAGTCGTATATATATATCATATTCGTAGTGGTTTTCCATCATACTTTTATATTAAATTGCATTGTATGTGGTATAAAAAAGGTCTTTAAAATGCTTTAATTTAACTTAGAAACATCCAGTCTGATCAGGAACAAATAACAATCCCACCACCAGCATTGGTACCCAACTTGCGACCATCAGTAGTTTGTTTAAATGACGACACCACAACAACAAAACCTTTTAAGTCCTCTGTCACAGATCTGATGTGAGGGTGTAAACTGACTCTCATTATCTCACAGAGGAGACTAATGAGCTCCACTCGCCACTCATCAACATGCTGTTTGACTACGAGGAGACATCTGGAGAGCCAGGAGAGCGAAACGCTCGGCTGACGGAGCTTCAACCTCAACAAAGAGATCATGGAGGACTCTGGTCTCCCACATGTCGCACTGATCACTGAGGTGTTTCTCTTATTGATCACTGGAGCCTCCATTATGTTCAAGCAAATCCTTTCGTTCCAGGCTGCTTTCTATGAGGGATAATCAATCAACACTCGATGTTGTCTGTTTGTGTACTTATGTCATTCATGATCACGTGACCCTTAAACTGAAGCAATGTCTACTTACAACCTATTTTGTCCTGAAGGGCCGTGCACGGCAAGAAAAACAGCGAAAGCAACGTGAGCATCAACACTGTGTGCTCCAGCCTTATCGGCAGCTCAACACGAAAACTGATTAAGTTATTGATGAGCCGGACTTCAGCACTAAAGACTATTGTGTTTCAAAAATGACATTGTTTATGTCTAATTTGCAGCCTAAGATTATTCTATTTGTTGCAAAATTCACAATAAAAGATGGAGTTACAATGTGAGGAGGATGATTCTGTGGTGCTCTCATTTAATGGTAGAAAAAGAAAAAGTAACTGGATCCAAAGTGTCAACAACAAAAAGAGAGTTTCTCCTGCAGATGAAGGATATTTCTCTCTCTCCTGGAGGTTCCACTGCAGGCTGATCTGTCCCCTCAGAAAGAAGCATTTTCATGTTTTAATGCTTTGGATTGTCACAGATTATCCTCCCAACAGTTTCAAACACCAAGGTTTATGTAATCTGAGTGAGGGGCTAAAATATAATAAACATATTTCCATGATATTTGGTCATTATAATCAATTTCCAGGTGTTTCCATGATTGGAAAACTCTCTAAATTTCCAGGTTTTCTAGATCTTCCAGGACATATAAGGGCTGTAGGTAATGATCGATTTATCTCACAAATATCAGAAATATTCAGTTAATGATTCATTCGCTACAGAGAAGCAACAACAAGAAGACATTTTTGCTTGATAAATAACCTCATTGATAATTGAAACAGCTCTGCAGTTCATCCAGTATCAGTTAAAAGGATAAAACCCAGAGAATAATCCTTCAGCTTTCACTAACAAGGACACAGTTTGTGTTTAGTGTCGGCGCTCTCGGACAGAGAGCTGGATATTTAAACTGTCCAAACACTCACAGCAGTAACAACAGAGACCCGACTGTGGGCCTGCTGGAAGCAAACACAGCTCCGCGCGGGGTTTCTGGACACAGGCGAGCAGTGTTCGGCGCCACCACATCGCCACCTGAGCTGCTCGCCTTACAACACAAACAACCAGGTCAAACCGCGGCGGAGGAGAGGTTGGCAGGGGCGGAAAAAGGAACACAACTTCGGGATTTGTTTACAGTTTGACCTGTTTTACATCCTTAAAGCTGAAAATCCTGCTTTCTAATTGGTCAGCAAATTTAGCTACACTGTAAAAAAGAATCATAATAAATAAAAAGTTTATTTTACTGATTTTTTAAATACATAGAAATATAAATAAAACTATAAAATAGTCTGTGAATTGACATGTCTACTGTAAAATAATGTGTAACTGTAAATAATCATAATATTACTGTTTACTTAAAAATAAATCCTTTTTCACATAAAAGGATTAAAATATAAAAGTTATTTTCTGTTTATTCAATAAACTGAAATTCATATTAATACATTTCTAAAATTACATAAAATTA